TAATCATCAACCTTCCCCACTCCTCTAGATCAGGATCTCAGCAATGGAAGACGTGATCTCTTACCAAATTTATACTCAGAGAAATGGGAGGGGAGCGGGGAGAGGGAAGAATGGCCCAGTGTTTATGGTACCTTCCCGAATGTTCAACATACACCTTAACATGCGAGTCACCAAGCTTAAGTGGACAGTGCCTGGCATGCCCTTGTCTTACTCAGTTGATGACTGACATACCCAGGAATGTAGACTCCAGCTTTGCCTCTGTAAGGGAGATAGTCCAAAGTGTGAGCTGTCTCTTAGCAGAGCTTGGAAGACAGACACTCCACCCTTGCTGGGCTTCCTGCCATCCCTGGGCCCACTCCTACATGGCTCTATGGGTTATTCCTGGTGACCTTTATAAATAAGCTGACCCACAGGACTCCCTCAGAACTCACATCGCTCTCTATGACACTTGTCATGAGAAAAGTGAATATCCTGACAGTATCAGACCAAATAAAATATGGGATTATTTTTTTCTGGATGAAATTTCTATAGCTAGCCTATTTAAGCAAGTTACTGTGTTTTATTTTTTAGTTCAATCATTTAACACTCTTATGGTCAAAATAGCCATAACATATGAATGAAATGAGCTATTTATCCGAGCATCCTTTCTCCCCAAGAATTCTCCTTTGTCCTGTATTCAGGAAAACTGCTCTAGCTGCTCTGGCTTTCTCTCGGGGTGGAGGGCTGGCCATGCCTCACAGAGATCTTCAAGAGAGCAGCTGCAGTCTTTACCATATCTGTGTGGTGTTTCACTTCAGAGCACCCAGCCCTCCCTCCCATTTACCTCCTACTGCAAAGAGGAATGCAGGGTGTCCTGGAGCAGCTACCCAGGAAATGACTCTGGTCTGCTATTTGGGTAACTCCCCAAGTCACAGTTCCTGGTAGCGCTCCAGTTCAGCTTGAGTAAAGCCAAGTTCACCTAAGAGGCGCTGCCAGGATACTAGTAGCAGGAGAGGACCAGTAGTGCCCCCCCCCCCCCCCCCCGGGGTTGGGGAGAGGCTGGCAAACTGCCACAGCAAGGAGCAACCACAAGGCAAAGGCTGCCAATGGCAATGACTCAGGAACAGGCAGGGAGGGAGGGAGGGAGGGAGGGAGGGAGGGAGGGAGGGAGGGAGGGTATGGATGGAGAGGCTACAGAGGCAATGGGTCTTGGGCTTGGAAGCTTCCTGAGTTCTGCCCTGAAGAATTTCTAAAATCTACCACACATTAGTAAAGCCAGTGACTCATGTCTCTGAAAACTCTGAGATTAATTACAAATGAATATAGAATTGATGGGTTGGGAAATGTCTTTTTTAATTGAAAAACAACAATTAAACAAACCCTGCTTAACTTCTTTTTCAGAAAAAAAAACCAGAATTTTAACACATCCTGTCAAACAAGGCAATATATATATAATAATATAATAATATACAGTACTCAATTAATATCCTTTATGTAGAGTGAGGGGGACCCATCTGAGTTAGCATCTTGGCAGAGTGATGTAGACTATTTCTCTCCTTTCTTTAAAATAGGATTGCTAAGCAAATAAATGTTATTTACTAAATATGACTAATTTCTAACAATGCAACAGCTCATATTTGAGGGGCATTTCATAACACTGGAATATTTTTACACCCCTTCTCAATTATCTCTCATGCGTATATATCAAGGTAGATATCATACTCTTCATCCGGGCATCACAGTTGAGGAATTACTTTGTGAAGTTACATAATTGGTCAGAGGATAGGGGAGAGCTCAGAGTACAATCATTACAACCAAACCCTACATTTTCCCCTTCACAGAGGGTCTTTCATATAGAAAATGGGATTTATATGAGCCAATTGGGTTCCTAAACACGAGCACAACTTCCCTCAGACATTCCCAGGTAATCCTATAATGAAAGGTGTTCAAAGCCATAGAAAGGCGTTAAATCAATATGAGCCCTCTGAAGACTGCAGATGCCTAAGGTCACATCTGACAGCATTTCTACCTCAAATGTGTGTGAATGACTTCAGAGATACAGAGACCTGTCCTATCCCTAGAGAGTGCTTGCAAATCTTTTCATGAAGGGGAAAATATCCAGCCTCCAATTTTTGATTTGAAAAAAGCAAGCAAACAAACACTCAGCACGAAGTAAGGAACGAACAGAAACTCAAGTTCTAACATGTTCCCACAGCAGTGACTAATTAGGGTCAAGAGTTATCACAGCTGCAGGGCGGGCAAAGCGTTGGGGGAGAGATGCTCAATAGCTGTTAAGCCATGGAAGCATGCTCAGATTGCTATGCTTTGTTTGGAAATAGATTCCAATAATTTAGAAGGGCCAGGATTTGAACTCTTTCATTCTCTACCCAGAATCCAGCACTGCCACACTCCATGAAGGCTAGGACCAGGCAGTGTAGGTGGCACGGGAAGGTATTCTTTTGCAAAGGATGAGGGGTGAAGCTCCCATCACCCCAAACCCGGGAATGACCCTCAGTAGCTGTATGATGGCCTGTAACATCTGAAAGGCAAGATTCAGAGTCAATAGTTGTTTGGACCTAAACACCATGTCAGTTACAATTTACATCCGTTCCCCTTTTTAGTCTTAGGGGAGATTTCCTGCTCACTTGTCAGGAGAAACAAACCATGAAGACAGACTACATGAGCTGACTTCAGTGTGTGACGACCTAGTTCCTCTGATCTCTCCCCAGCTTTCAAAGGACCCACCCAAAGTAGAAGCCTGGACTACAGATGGCTTTGCTGAGGCTTAGTCCTATAGGTGAACTGAGTGGCAAAAACTTGAGAACTACATTACCCAGTTAGGCACAATCTAGCTACTAATTATGTATGTTACCCATGCATCTGTTTCTACAGTGCAAGGTGTAATTGACAGCATGCAAAAGCTTAAATGACATATTTTTCTTAGTCATTCATGAAATAACAGTGCCTCTTACATTAATGATATCTTAGATTTTTATGGAGAATGATCATAAAATTAAATACGTATGGAGTCCCGTTATAATCCCAGCTCTAGACTGGAGTACACTGAGGAAGAGGTACTTGTTATGGATACATGATGACCTGAGTTTGGATCCCCAGAACCCTCTCAAAAGCCAGGAGTGGTGCTGGAATAGTAGCTGAGAGTCCTACATCTTGCAGGCAACAGGAAGTCAACTGAGACACTGGGCAGTACTGTGAGCACAAGAAACCTCAAAGCCCACCCCCATAGTGGCACGGTTCCTCCAACAAGACCATACCCACTCCAACTAAGCCACACCTCCTAATAGTGCCACTCCTTATATTATTATAGGAGCCAATTACATTCAAACTACCACACTTAACAACTGGATACCAATAGCACATATGAGTTATTATGCATGTCAATAATCGGGGAGGTTTAGTGGTGGTTATAACCTACCCCCTAACTACCAAAGAGCTGCCTCATTAGTGCTATATGAGTCTCTCAGCATCTCTGCAAACTGGAGCCTGTAGCTGTCCAGGTGATGTCTGACCCCTCCAGCTTTTAGAGTGCTCAGTTTAGAGTTTAGAAGAATGATCACTATGCAGCATTAGTTCGAACTCTGAATGGCAGAATAATTTATCCAGCGCCTTTCAGATAATGCATGGCTTTAAGTAATATGCAGATGTGGGATGTACAATCAGCACAGGTGGTTCCTCAAACGTTTTCTACCTCTCGAATCTGCTGTGCTGTTTTGCAGTGCCCCAATTCTCCTGCAGCAAAGCCTACCTTTCCTTCTTTGAGATGTAGCACATGTGTGTATGTGTGGGGAGACTATTGTCTTTCACAGGTCCTTCCCCATCAAGGTAGACTTCATCGTTTCTTTATGGCATAGCCTCTTCAATCTGTACAGCCCCTCTCTAACAAATAAGCTTATCAGAGAGAGAGAGAGAGAGAGAGAGAGAGAGAGAGAGAGAGAGAGAGAGAGAGAGAGAGAGAGAGAGAGAGAGAGAGAACACCACCACTATGGTCCCATAGAACACACAAGAGAAAGAACAAAAGAGGGTCCCCATACAGCCTGGCGACTTTCCAGCAGGCCGAACTAGCCTTATGAGTTTCTGGGATTAGAATTCAGGCAAAGAAATGAGCCAATTAAAACGCTTGGCCCCAATCTTTGTGTAGATAAAGAGCTTTGCACACGCTACAACAATCTAACCTGGGTCGGAAATTCTGCGGGCTGACTGCCTAGTGATTTGCATCTCAATCGTTTTCATTTGATTCATTTTATTTTCTCAGCAAAAGTCAGGCACTGCTTGGTTTAGGAAAGACCTGTCTTCCATCTGCCTCCCCACCAGGCTCGACAGACACAATGAGCTCCATCCACAAGGTTTCCAACTCAGTGGCTTCGCTCTGACTCAGAGTAGCTAATGTCCGTTGTACCAAGTGAGTTCTCCAAAGCATCAAAAGCATGGGTTGTACTTGGTTTTACATTCAACTCAGTAGCTATTCCCATCCCAAGTACCATCATTCATGGTTCTTTATGGCACAACTCAAAAGCACATGAGCAACACACAGAAAGTCATACTCCTTATTCTGCCACAAAACCAAGAAACCACATTTATTCCACTCACTTTATGAGAATCACACATAACTATGCATCACATTTCAAGCCAAAGGCTGTATGGTCCCTGAAGCCTATCAAGTTCCATGTGACAAAAATCCAGAAAATACATTCTACCAGTTTTTTCCCATGAGGAATCAACACAAGATAATACAGCAACACCTTATATTGTACCATGGAACAAAGAACATGTTTTTGATGTGCATTTTGAACTGATGATACTTAAGTCATACTAGAATTATGATGGGGTCTACAGTATGATGGATACCTAAGACATGAGAGCAACTTTATGCTTGGTGGCTTATGTTGATGAAGCAGAGGAAAAATGACCCAACTCTGGTCTTCCTCCACAAAGATCCTGGAGCTCAGAAAGTGATAACCTTGGCATATTCCAGATAAAGAATAAATGTGGCATGAACTTACTTAACAGTTGGCAATAGAGGGCCTGTAAACTTCTCTTCATGGTATCATCTGGTCCTGCTTATCCTCCAGTTTATTCATGATTCTGTCTAGGAAAATAGGAGAAGAAATTGTTACATCAAGGACATAAATTCCTAATTAGAAGAAGTCCATTTGAATGTGAGAATGGCAGTACATACATAGCTGTATTTGAAATAGAAAAATCTTAAAAACAGTTTAATTTATAATGTTCTATGTTATACACCTACCACTGACCCTTTGACCAAACCTTCAAACCATACAGCGCCTCCTGCCCACCCCTCACCCAAGACAACCCCTATGGGCAGAGAGTGAGAATCTGGCTTTGAAGGATTTTTATAGATCTCATGACACTCTAGTCTGGTGATTCTCAACCCATGGGTCACAACCCCTTGCCTGGGGTGTCAAACAATCATTTTACAGGGGTTGCCTATGACCATCAGAAAACACAGATATTTACATTATGACTCATAACAGTAGCAAAATTACAGTTATGAAGTAGCAACTAAAATAGTTTTATGGTTGGGGGTCACCACAACATGAGGAGCTGTATTAAAGGGTCACAGCATTAGGAAGGTTGAGGACCACTGGTCTCGTCCTAAGAGAAGAACAAATATTTTTGTCTTTTCTAATCTTGTTCCTGCTGAGGGGTTCACTAAACCGAAGTAAGAACCAGAAATCTTTCTAACAGTTGAAAATGCAGGGTGCAAAATGAACTTGTTAGCTGGGTACTGTGGCACACACCTGTAATTCTGGCACCCAGAAGACAGAAGCAGGAGGAGGGAAGAGTTCAAGGCTAGCCATGACCTTCTTTCAAGTAAACAAAAATAATAAAATAAATAACATTTAAAGGTTAAAAAATAGAAATAATTTATTATTATAAAGGATACTACTATGGAGTATTTGGAAAATGTAGTTAGCTGAAAATATAGATAAGAATAACCAAGAAAGCACAAATTATATTATCCTGCCAATATGAGGCAATCACTCAGACTTTGGAGTGCATCTCTCTGGACTTTGCATATGCACTTCATATGTCTGTTGTATTTTATATACTTCTCACTCTGACTTTTCTCCCCAGTAGCAGAAGCATGCTGCTGTGTCAACAAGACTTTGCTATCTGCTATTTAAGTAGCAAATATTTATTTAAGAGAAGTTCCTAGAAATGAAAATGCAAGGAAACAGTATAAGGCTTTGGAGAAACTATAAATTTTCTCTTCAGAACCAGAATCATACAATAGCCATTTAGACTACATTCTATCCAAGAACGGCAACTTAGAATTTCTTCTCATGCTTCCAGGTAAATAAATATTACATCTCATTGCTTTAATTTGTACTATATGCTTAGTAGTCATTTATCTTAAAACGTTAGAATTTATATTTTTGATCATTATTTTGATCATCTACCAGCTTGTCAGGTTTTCATTTTCTTATAACACCCCAAGTAGAACTAACTTGCCTTGATATCTTTTAAAAATTGAGATATAATTGATATATCATAAAACCCTGCCTTTAATGTTCACAATTAGATGGTGAACGCTATCAGAGAGCTTCCGTTGACAGTAGGTAGTGACTGATAGAGACTCATAGCTGATCCATGTGTAGAGAATAAAAGATTGTGGAGTGCTCAGTCCTAAATGGGAAATCTATATCACACTCTCTATCTGTAAGGCTCAGGGATCATTGTGGAAGAGGGAGGCAGAGAGATCCTAAGAAACAGAGATAATGGGAGACTGACACAAAACAGTGTTTTCAAGATGTCATGAGGCTGTCGTCCACATGCACTCACAGTGGCAGTGACAGCATGCACAAAACCTGCACAAGATCAAGCCAGCTCAAATAGTAGCACTTATGAGGAAAGGCTCACCAAGTCCCACCCTAGCAACTGATGACTGCTGGGTAAAGGGGAGCCAGTTTTCTTCAGGGACTCAACCCCTGATAGGTTGTCCATGCTCCAGTGGATGGCCTTACATACATGTAGATATTGGCAGTACTACATGGACTAAGTAAGTTAAAAATGTGTACACTCCTTGGGGGAGGAAAAAGTGGTAGTGGGATATGGGAGAGATTACAGTAGAGGGAGATGGGAACAGGTTTGACCACACCACATTATATGCGTACATGAAATTCTCAAGCAATAACATGTTTAAAAGCTGCTTGGCCACCATTACTACCTATTCCAGAACATTTTATCACTGTATACACTACTTTTTGTTAGTCATTTGTCTGATGACCACTAATCTACTGGCTGTCCCTTTAGATTTGCCTATTGTGGTTTGTATAAATCTAATCATACAGTACATGGCATCTGCATCTGGCTCCTTTTACATAGCATAGTGCTTTTGAGCTTTACTCCTGTGTGGGACATCCTGTATTTAAAGAACAAATTCATTAAGCATACTGCTCATTTCCTCATGGTTAGAAAGACCTTTATTGGTCTCTTGTTACAAAAAGTATTTCTCCCTATTTTTCTTGGTATTTCATATTGCAGTCATTATTTTCTAAATGCTTTTCTAGTCTTAGATGAGTTTCTCGGCTTTGTGACACTTTCAATGTCTGTTTTCTCATTCCACCATTGGAGTGGTGTTTGTATTAAACCATTAGTACACTATTCCTTTTCTATTATCATTCTTTTTGAGATTTGTCTTATTGGTGTTTAAATGATTTCAATGTAATTAACTTTAAGGAGATTAAAGATAAAGGAGATATTAAAGAAAAATATGGGGATTATAGTTGGAGATCTCTTTTATTTGCTTAGAAAAGACTTGGTATCTTCAAAATGCAGTAAGGAGAAAGAAAAATATTTTAAAATCTGCACTGTAGATATCAGAATGTCTTCCAAAGGGTGAGAAATTCTCTTTTCAGGACCACAACACCTTAATGATGTCCTTAGTTAGGCAAAAAACAACCATAAACCCCTAAGAGTACGAAGGAGAGACATAGATCATTAAATTGCCTTTGGTTAAAAATAAAGATATTTAAGCTTCTAAATATTAGTGTTGGAAAGATGGGTTACAGAGGGGGTCCAGAAACAGCAGAGGCTGATGTGATAAACAGGAGATGGTTAAAAAAAATAGGAAGAGGCAATTCCAAAATATGCTGGCAGGTGAGGCTGAAAGATGAAGGATGGAATGAGAAATGGCCCTCAGGGGATGCCTGTGAACTTTAGCTTTCCCCTGCTTCTTGTTTTACACTACCTTTACTCACAGGCTCTAGCTGCATTCCTTCTCCCACAGTGCTCCTCCACGAAGAGCATCCTAGGATAAACCTGGCATAAAATAACCAACTGCTGCTAGGGCTTCACAGGGGGGACAGTGTGAGACAAAAGATCACATTCTGAGCCAAGGGCGACTTCTGGAGGCCACCCCCTGGCAGCAGCCATAAGCAAAGGGTAGTGGGCATCTATGGAGTACTTAGGACATGGTAAGCACTCAATAAACATCTGGTAAATATGGAGTAAGTGAATATGTAGATGATCAAGAAACAAGAGAAGAGAAAATAATTGTGGTTAACTTTGATCAAGGGGAACATAAGCCCGTTAGTCATCTCTAGCAATGCTTAGGGGTTTTTGAAGAAGCAAGCGATGGTCCCCAATATAAGGAATAAAGCAATTAGTGAGCTATCAAAGAAACGATTGAGCTGGCAAATCTTAGGGATTTGGGACCATCTGAGTTATACAGGGTTATCCCAACAGCAGACACCATCTGGCATACTATTTATTCAAAATTCATCTTTAAGTCCTTTGATGGAGTTTCACAATGGTTTTTCTTCATTTACATTCTATTGTCTTTTCAAGTAAATTTGTAGGCATTTTACATGTAGCTTTTGCCAATGTGATGGATTTCCTCTTACTATTTTATTCTCTAATTACTTTGACATGGAAATGGTTGGCTTCTGTATATTCATTTTGTGACCAATCTGAAGTCACTCGCTGTACTAATGATGGCTTCCAAGCTGAGTCTCTTGGGTCAATTGTGTTACTTTGAATGGATAGAGAGTCACAGTTAGATTCTATCAAAAGCTGATTTATTAAATCACATTTTATTTATTTTGCGTGTGTGTGTGTGTGTGTGTGTGTGTGTGTGTGTGTGTCTGTGTGTGTGTGTGTGTGTGTCTGTGTGTGTGTCTGTGTCTGTGTGCGGCTTCTAGTGGTGCAGCCACATGTATGGAGGTCACAGGACCATGTGGATCCAAGGGAATGGAACTCAGGTCACCAGACCTAGTCATAGTAAGTACCTTTACCATCTGAGTCATATCATCAGTCCCTGAAGCTACTTTTTAACCATGTAGTAGGAAATATTAACTATATCAGTATGGTTCCTTGGGGCATAATTTAAAGCTTTAAGGATAATGATTAGTTTCTGGAGTGAACTCCTAAGAAATCAGAGGGCTTTAACGGTCAAAAAGTCATAGTCAAAGATAATCTTCTTTGACTATTCCAGTTCTGGGACTGTCACTGCAGACAAAGTCAGGAGGTATACAGTTTCAGACCCTTGGAATCAGTAAACACTAGAACCATTCGCCTCCTGGCTCAGGCAGTAAGTAGACCTTTGACAGCCATAGAAGAGCTGGGCCGTGGAGAGTGGGCCATCAGGGTGAGGTACAAATGCCAAGTAGATGGAGAGTGTTGAGTGTTTTTCATAATCCCAGAAGAGGTGGAGGCACAGGGTGCATTCTTCAGAGGAGCCACTCTAACAGCGGCAGCAGACTCAGCAGTAGCTATAACAACAAGAGACATCGGAACAAGGGCAGGAAGATGAGGGGAAGTGCACGAAAAGAGAAGGTAAGAGGGGCAAAAAGTGAAGGTCAAGGATCTCAGGTCAAAGGCTAGGATGCCATTAAGAACCTGAGAAGAGAAACTGCAGACTCTGTTAACTAAGAGTTCCAGAAAGCCATCAATCCTCAATTGCCAACAGTTTGGGGCACCTAAGTCTGAGACCTATACCACTGGCTGCTGTCAAGACCCAGGGAATTCCAGCACTTTAGGTCTGGAAGGTTCTGCAAACCATTGTCTATGGTTGGGTTATCCTGATATTTAAACCCAGACACTGCAATAATAGTCACTACCAAA